ACGCGATAATATAACAAAAAATCCTAATAACATTAAAATTTAGTAAAAACTTCATTTAAAACAACCCTTTATTGAATTTCTATAAATATTATTATATAACGTTAAAAAACATTTAAACATATCAATAAATATTGATTCTTACCTGTATTATTCGAATCCATTAAAATAACTTTAAAATATTAGGTGGACACCACAAAATTTACCTTTGCTTAAATGTTTACACTGAGGACGCTAAGAACAATGACATGCACTCCGTGAGACGACCAAGTTTCAACTAACTACGCGCGCGCACGAAGATAGGTTCGCAAGAGGGGATGGTAAAATATTGTTACTGGAACATTCCTTTGGCTCTCGTATGCTTGTGGTATTTTTAAATTCATTTTAAAAATTTGATTTTTGACCGCCTAAATCCTTGAAATCAACGTATGTGCGACGTCACCCTCTGAGTGAACCATCCCAACGAACTAAGCTAAAAGGTTGTCATCCCCCTTGCCCGGGTTGGAACGGAGCACTCACCTGACGATATCGCGAACAGGGCCAGTGCATTTAGTTTTAATGCAAATTTGTAAATTGGAAAAAACCCACTATGCAATAACCATTGACATTTTGAACAATGTTAAGTATTGGGAAAAATACTCAAAAAGTACTGAGAAAAACGGATGAAATTTTGATTTGATAACAAACATGTCACAAGCCTGTTGGTGGTGTCACCAGCTGAGCAGGAACCAAAACACTCAAAAAGAGTTAAAGTCCCTCCTCAACTATTCTGTCACCACCCACAAGACCAGTGCATTTGGAGATGACTAAAAAATGAAATTTTAACATTGGGGCATATACATCAGAAGTTCCTGACATGTCTCCACTAACAACACCGTGTTTGTCAACATGTAACAGATATGAGAATATTTCACTGAGGTGTTTGATATCTGTTCTTTTATTAATGCAGTTTTCATTTTGATAGATATGTGCCATTTCTAGAAACTGTCTTTTAGAAATATTAGTTTCTCTTTCTAGCACAGAAACACTATCATAATTCATTATATGGTCATTTTTGCTGACGTGTTCTGCCAAAGCACATCTTTCAGGGTGTAATCTACAGTCACTACGGTGGGAGGTTATGCGATCTTTTAGGCATTTAGCCGTTTGTCCAATGTATATCTTTTGACATGTGCCACAAGGGATACTGTAAACTACACTACTCAAAGATGTTTTTGGAACTTTATCTTTTAATTTTGAAAACACTATGTTGTTAGTGAGGACAAGTTTTTCAGCGATTTTTATGTTTTCAAGTGGTTTCAATAATTTTGTGAGTTTAGGTGTAATTTCCTTAATGTAAGGCAATGTTACATATTGGATGTTTTGTACTAAGGAAACACTATTAGGTGGTATATCATTGACAACCTCACCTCTATTGCTTACGTTAACGTTTGAATCATTAATAACATTGCCATTTGTAAATATGGATGATGTGCTGAACAATATCTTTTTTAGTAAGTCAGGTGGATAGGAATTATCTAGGAATAACTGATATAAGAGTTTCAAATTTTTGTCATGGAAGGAAGGATCACTTATTTTGACAACTCTGTTTTTTATTTCTTTGATTGTATTGATTTTCGTAGACTGTTTATGGTAAGACCAATAATTTATATATCTGCCTGAACTAATAGGCTTTCTATACCAATCTACTACAATCTTGTTATTCCTACGGATGATCTTAGTATCTAGGAAGGGTACACTATTCAAAGGATCTTCAGTTTCTAATGTAAACTGGATATGTGGGTTGTAACTATTAAAGTACCATAAAATCTCATCCACGAAATTCGCTGGTAAGGTTAAAATAATGTCATCGACATATTTCTTTATAAAAGGAATATTGACAGGGATTACTCGTAAGATAATGTCAAGCACCTCATCCATTACAAAGTTAGCAAGTATAGGGGAAATTGTACTACCCATTGGTGTACCAAACGTTTGTCTGTAATGTTTGTTGTTGAACGAAAAATAATTGTTTTCAAAAACAAGTGTGAGCAATTCTATAAAAGTGCTATTATCAATGCTACAACACCCACTAATGTTCCTCCATTTTTTGTTGATAGCCATAACACAAATATCAAGGTAAACATTACTAAACAAGGAAACTACATCTAGACTAGCTACCACATAATTTTCAGGAATCTCTATATTATTCAGCAATTGGTATACTTCAAATGAATCTTTGATGTAATATGGATTATCATAATCATAGGCTTTAGTTAGAATATCTGTGAGGTATTGTGCAATATTACTAGTAGGTGTGCCAATAGATGCGATGATAGGCCTAACAGTTAATGGATTTTTATGTATTTTTGGCAAAGAGTAAAATTTTCCAGAAATGCCTGTATAACAAGTGAACTTTTTCTTGGTAATATCATTTATCTTGTTAAGAATTTTAAGTTTTCTAAGGGCACTATTACATTTGTTCTGAACAGACATCGTTGGATCTAAATTTAGTTCCACATACGAAGAATCATTATCAATGATATTTGTTGATAACTCAATATACTGTTGTCTGTTCATAACGACTGTAACATTCCCTTTGTCTGCTCTTGTTACAATGATATTAGGATGTTCTTTCAAGAAATTGTTCGATTTTTTGAGCAAAGATTTGAAAAAATTGTTCTTTTTGAATTTACTATTATGAACTGCATTAGTAATGATGTTAGTAGACTTTGCTATGCAAACATTTTGTACTTCTTTATTATCTATCCTAGATGTAATGTTATCTATTTCTGCTAGTATCTTTTTGATTGAAATATCACAACCTATCACAGGTTCTATACTAAATTTGGGGCCAAGAGCCAAGAATTTGGAAATATCCTCAGGAATCTGTACATCTGAGAGATTTTTGATCCAGTGTGGTTTACTATTCAATTTTTTGGTGAGTTCGGTGTTAATTAATCTATCTAATTTTTCCATATTCTTCCTCTTAACGCTATGAAAGATTCTATTGTATGAATTATGTTGAAATGCTTTAAAATTATTAAAAATATCTAAGTTTGTACAAGTACTAATATCTGACTTTAATTTTTCTAAATTAATCTGAAGTTTAATTAATATTTTATGATTATTATTAATTTCAAAATTCAATAATTTATTTCCTAACCTAAGGTGTGTGTCCTGATTAATGAAGGTGTCCTGTCTGTCAAGAAGATGATGAACTGGTAGTAGTGAATGATGAATGTGTGGTGGTAATAACCCAAGCTTTCTACACTTAAGTAAGAAACAACTTCGGTTCTTCTCTTTGGCTAATTTTTGGTAAGTTTTCGTCCAAAGTTTCATCTTATTAACTGCGATGTCACCGTATGTAGCCTTGATGGTCTGGTAGAATCCCATATCAGTATCTATAAAAGCCAAAAATGGCTTAGTCTTTGCCGACTAGTTAGAAAATAAACTAAAGAATCTTGGGATTTTCAGCAAAAATCTTACAAATGTGTACATATATATTACCTATTTGTATATTTATCATAAACATATTTCAGATGCTGCCCATTCAAATTTATAACCGGGTTCTTCTTTAGAATAAAGAAAGGCGAGAGGCCATGAATCAAATTAATTTAGAAAGGCGTATTCAAAGAGCCGAAAATGACCCATTTTTTATGCCTGATAATAATTTTATACAATTATTTAGATTATCTAAAGAAATGGTGCGGGATATTTTGATACCATCATTGTTTCCTCATTTACATGTTTAAAGTGAATTGGCAGTAAATTCTATTCTCAGCATATTGTTAACATTAAATTTTTTTGGTACTGGCTCATATCAGAGGTCTGTGGAGGATAATTTTAATTTTCCAACTTGCCAGCAAACTGTTTCAAATATTATAAAAAAAGTTTCCTCCTTGATTATAAGTTAACTAGCCAATCAATGGATTGTATTCCCAAAGAACGAGAAGATTTAAATAGAGTTAAAGGGAGGTTTATGGAAAAGATTCAGTTTCCTGGGGTACTAGGAGCAATTGACTGTACCCATATTGCCCAATTTCCTTTGTAACATTTTTTTCCCATAATTGCTAATAATCTCTTTTCTAAATTACTTAAAGTTAATGGAGTTCCGGGACCACCTCCTGTTTTTTTAAGCTTGTGTCTATTTCTGCTGCTTTCCCTTTTGTTTTAGACTTCCAAATATTTAAACACAAACAATATTTCATTCAACTAAACTTACTTTCTTATACTCATTGATTGTGAGAGAGCCATAGCCCAGTGCATTTAACTTATTAGTTAATTGTTTCCACAACTTTTTCAAGTCATTATGCCCTGACAATCCAACAAAAGAATTTGTTATTATTTGTGGGTACCATTTCGCAAAATTTATTGTCGTTTCAAAATGTTCCGAACACAGACGCATAGTTTTCTCTTCAAATATAAAAATAGGAAACAAACAACACGACCACATTACCATTATAACTAATCAAAAATAAAATTCCCTACCTTTTGACAGTAAATTATCGCCAGTACCGAAAATACACAAACTGTTTTTCTACTATCGCTTTCTTTTGAATGAAGTTAAAACGTTTTAAAATGTCGCTTTCTACATCGCTAACAAGCTACCGCTTTGTGGCTTCAGCATAGTTGAACCCATGATCGGATATCGCTATCGGGTAAGTCGGCGTAGCATAGCGCAGAGTACAGAGAGCTTTGCTCACCGTTAGCAATCTCATTGGTTTTGGTTTCGATTCCGATGCGACGACCAGGCAGCAATTGGGAAATACCTCTGAAAAAACGCAGTCACAATTTGTTTTGCAAAGCTATTACAGATTGCGATTGTAATATCACTGCGATCAAGTTGCAGTTCGCGATTTTAAGCTCATCTCTAGTTTAAATATTGTTGCAAATTCTTGTTCAGCGTTTGATCTCATTTTCTCAATCATCCCATTAAGATTGTTCACCATGTTCATGGCATCCAAAAGATCGATATCTCCACGTTGCAAAGATCAAGCAAGGGGTAAGCTTAAGGAAAATACTTAACCCATCACCTTTAAACTGATTATGAAGTATGAACTGTGAAGTGCACATATGAGCTGCGATGCCATCGAAGCTAATTCTAGATCATCCCACTGTAAAACTTCTTCAAGAGCCTCATTGACAGCAGGTGACATTTCTTGGCACTCAACCCACCTAGTTGGGCAGAGTTGTTTTAGACGGGTAGATTTGGCTTCAGGAAACAGTTTCTCAATTGCTCTTTTAATAGCCTCCATTCGTTTTGGAGTGTTAAAGAACACGCAGCGTTTTGTTGCAGTCCCACTGAAATTTCTGATCTCAGAAACTGAACATGATGTACTTATAGCAAGGTTTAAGCAATGGGATGCACAATGGGCATATATTGCATTCGAATGCTCTTTCGTTACATAAGCTTATGCTCCGATGAATTTTCCACTCATTGCTGAGGCCCCATAATATTCTTGTCCCCTAAAAAACTTTGTAGCGATTCCAAACTCCCGTAGGGAATTTAAAATGATTGTCGCAAGGTTCTTACCTGTTAAATCAGAAACAGGTACAAACTGAAGGAAATCTTCTCTAATGCCATTATTATGTAGGTATCTCACGCCGATTGATGTTTGTTCTTGCATTGAGACTTCTGTCGTTTCATCTGCAAGAACAGTAAAACATTTCGCTTAATTTACCATCTCAACCAATTTCTTCAGCATTATATCATTAGTAGCATAAATAATTTAATTTTATGTTTTTGGTGAGAGATAAAGTGCATTTTTCGATCTTTTTTCTAAATGCTTTTTCAAATCCTTATTTTCAGAATCAGCTCTGAATCTTAGAAAAGCTCGGAAGTGTCCCTCATTTTCAACCGGACAAACTTTCAAATAAACTTCCCATGGTCTCTATGGGCTCGAAGTGGTATACCCTGCCGATCACAAAGCAATACAGTTTCAATTATTGGTAGGACTGCGTTATTTTCAATAATTTGTTGCTGCAGAGCTGTTTTGTAGCATCTGGACACTCGGTATCGTGCCCCTGTATGTTTTTAAACAATCTTCAGCCTTAGGTATACAGAGTTTATAGTATTCATTATTTTCGTGGTCATTGAATTGTTCCACCGCGTCCTTCCAACGTCTAATAGGCTTTTTACTAAGACTGGAAGTCTCTTCCTGCTCTAACAGATGAAAACAATGAACAATATTTGCAGTAATCTCCGTCTTCAAACTTGGAGTAGAGCAGCCATTTCCACCTTGACAACCATCTATACTGAAATTTATGGTTTCGGGCTCCAGATCCTGGAAATTTGAAAATACATTCAGGAATCCATTATCACTCTTCTTTCTTCATCGACAATCTGCAAAAGAATTTGCACTTATTTAGTACATCAGTTAATTAAGCGACATCAGAAAATTAAATAATACTATCTCCTAATTTAACCTTATATTAACCCCTTGAAGCTCCACTACTTAATTCTTAATTTATTTACGATAGATCAACTATTTGTTTATGATCAGTAAATAGAAAATTTTACTTGTTTCCAAAATTATACCAATATCATTAGCTTCTCCTGGTGGACCTGGCTGTGCAACTGGCATGTCTGAATAAGTTGAAGGTACACATACTTTCATTCAAAGAAGCTTGTATTTCTATAGTCATTGTTAGTTGCCTTCGATCTGATTTTCTTAAAAAACTTTAATATTGAAGTGCGTTTTCCCTCATCATTAGGGTTCATATTCAAATTTAAAAAAAAATATGAAAAAAAAACTCACTAGCCTAGTAAATGCCGCACTTGACTTGACCGTGGAAACGCAGAATATTTGAAAAAGGTTGGAACAGGGCAACACAAGTGTAGCGAGCAGAACTGACTGACTGACTCTGGAGTGAGCGTTGTGATAACATACTTCAGAACCAGACGGGTCACGTGACTTATAGGTGGCGAGAAGACGATTCCGCTAGCAAAAGTAGGAAAGATCGCTGGTAAGAGAGGGAATTTTGATTCTTGCTTGGGTCTTTATAACTTTTAAAAAGCAAAATCTTTAAATTTTTTATTTTTTTAAAATTGTTACATACAATTTGTTTTAATTTCCTCTAATCAATGGGGGGGGGGGGGTTACGTCCCCAATAACCCCCTCGTTATGAGCTTGATGAGCACTCTACAGGAACCTAATTTTTTGTTGTAATTCTTTTGAATTTCCGTCAAATTTCCATAATTCCTATATGGTGTCAGTACACTTCGCAAACAGGGATAAGCTGAATCGGCCAAAATATATTTATCTTCACATTTTTGTCGTAAGGAATGAAATAATGGCGAATTTCTGAAAACTCTAGCATCGTGTACTGATCCTGGGAATCCAATGAAAACATCTCTTATTCGGCGTTGAGAATGACAAACTCTTGCACCTAAAAGTATAACAAATATTTCATGAGTGTAAGGTGCATTCATAGTTATAGGTGTTCCAAGTTCTTTTGTTTATATGGATATACTTAACTATACTTGTAAAAATATTAATTTTCATTTTTTCAAAAAAGTAATTCTACATTTCTTTTTCTTGTTAAAGAAATACATTTCAGGTCGAGAAACTTTCATTTTATTGTCCGGAATAATTTTTTAATACAAATTTTTCTCAAGGGCTCAAATGAAGAGCTTGGAAGAAGAAAATGGAAAATCCAAATAAAGCTTTTTATTAAAGCGCTTCCAAAAATGTTTACTTACTTTTGCAAATTCACAATTGTTGTATTTTTTTGTGCACCCTGTACATAAAATCAAGTTTCTCAAAGTTAATCATATTTATTTAACAAGCAAAAGAAAATTTATTTTTTTAAATTTAAAATAAATATTTTTACAAGTCACGGTGGATACACAGTTAGTAGTAAACTTGGTCAAAGAATTAATTAGCTGTGCAGAAACAATGAGTTACAGAAAGTCCTCTTTATAAAATAAATTATAGTCTTTTAAAGATTTGTTTACATAAGTACTAAGAAAGTAGATGTATTAACCGTAGTCTATATATCTTCTTAGTCATTTCTTACATGTAGGCATTTAAAAATTATTTAATTCTGATAATTTTGTAATATATGATGTATTAAAAGCATATCTATTTGTATAAATATTTTTGGTCATTGTCTTGTTTGAGCTCTTTTCGCTTGTAGCTATCACTATTCTAAACAAAAAATCTTAGTACCATATCTTGTACAAATTAATAATGACACAATTCTTTTTTTAAAATAAAAGTATTTAATAAATTGTCTCAAATCAATGCTACTTTTAAGCCTTACACAGTTGCCAAGTCGCATAAACAGTTTACCATTCAATTAAAAGCACAGTAATTCATTTATAATAATTTTTCTTGCCCTAACAATATTTAATAGTATATCTATTGACATTATTTTACTCACCAAGCACCCCTATTTACTCCCTTTCCTGTAAAATTGATAAAATTAATGGAAAAATTGAATTTTTATTTAAAAAAAAATATTTAATTTGCACAATATATAGAACTTAGATTTTTTTGTTTAATAGCAATACTTATGCTTAGTTTTTGCCTAATCTAAAAGATCAAACTAGACATTTACCATATCTATACAGTAGGTACCTGTGTCATCAGTAAAAATAGTTATATCAAAACAAGGTACCTGAACTGAGTAATACTTTTTTCTGTTGAAGAAACTTTCATGGTCTACTTCTGGTGTATCAATTTTGATGTGTGTTCCATCCATGCATCTCAGAACACCCGGAAAACCCATTTCAGAAAAATTGATGACTATTTCAGTTTTTTCTTCCTCACGGCCATGTTATAACATTCTCTGCTTTCAGGCTGAGAAAGTGGGCAACATTTTCAACTATAGAATGGAGACTACTCAACGCGATATTAAATCGATCTGCTACATCTCTAAAAGACGCAGCTTCATGAGTCGCAAACCAGCAAAATATCAAAAGACATTTTTCTGGTGTAATTCTGTCGAAATCAGTGTCTTTCTTAGGATAAAACTCACAATTTTCAAATTCTTCAGTAAACAAAATCACGATATGTCTATCCACTTTAAAATGTTCCAAAAATTGATTGTCAGTATAAGATTGAACAGTTTCTTCTGCGTACAGTTCATTTTTTCGAACAACTTGTGCTCCCTCGGGCATAATTACAGCTAAAAAGTTGTCTTTACTACTTGAGAAACTACTGCTCGAACTCGACGAAGAAAGCATTAACTGCATCACAGGATCCATTTTATAAAAACATAAACTATAAACTCAACGGTTCCATGACAAAACAGAACTTGACAAAACAGAACAGGATAAAACAGAACATGACAAAACAGAACTTGACAAAACAGAACACAGACAAAACAGAACACAGACAAAACAGAACACGGACAAAACAGAACACAGACAAAACAGAACAAGGACAAAACAGAACACAGACATAACAGAACACAGATAAAACAAAACATATCGACTGAGACTGAGAGACTGAGAGAAGTTAAAATCACGTAAGAAATTCAAACTTTATTTGTAGATTTTTAAAACAAGTAAGTCTTATTCAAAAGTAAATCAATGAAGTTTGTACAAAAAATAATCTAACACTGTTAAATATTTATCATACAATTGATTTAAGGTAATGTTACAATATATTTAATCGGGAAATAGTATCAATCATTAACAACAATATCAGAGTAAAGTAGACTTAAATGGTTTTAAAATCTGACCGTCGATATTATGTTTACATTCCTCTGATTTTAATGGGTTTTATTCCATAATGACAGGGATTATAAACAATGAACTAAAAGTAACAGTACTAAATACTAAGAATTAACCCATTAAATGCATTTAAATATATGTATACTGATAGGAGGCGAAACTTTTTGTTAGAGAATTTCGAGAAATACTTACCTAGTTATTATATACTATGTTCTGTTTTGTCTGTGTTCTGTTATGTCTGTGTTCTGTTTTATCCTTGTTCTGTTTTGTCTGTATTCTGTTTTGTCCGTGTTCTGTTTTGTCTGTGTTCTGTTTTGTCAAGTTCTGTTTTGTCATGTTCTGTTTTGTCCTGTTCTGTTTTGTCAAGTTCTGTTCTGCCTGATCACTAAACTCAACTACTAAAGGCAAAATAATAGTACGGCACAACAGACTCACTCAAAACTAAAATAAATACCAAGCCAAAATCAAAATGAAGTCCGTTAAAACAAAAATGCCAGCATAAAACATGGCCAGGGATGCCAACAAAAAAAAGTAATTGCAGAAAGCGCAAGCGCGAACATAATCAATTCTGAAACAATTCTCGCTTTGGGCCAGAACCGAAGTTACTGTTCCAGAATGATTATGGAACTATTCCCAATAAAAACCAAAACACCGAATGTTTAGGTTCAGAACCAGTTGATGAAACCAAAACAGCGAATATCTGCTACGCATGCTCCAAAGGTTCTGGAACAGTTACGAAAGTAAACCAAAACAAACCTTATACCACTCTTATTTAGAACATATTTTATCCAACGAGAGAGCGTTTGTGATAACGCATTCTTAAATGGTTTTTTTTATGACTTATGAAAAGAATATTTGTTTGAACATTTCTAAAGTTGCTTGTTTTGTTTAGATAAAGTTTAGCAACGCCTACAACACAGAGTTGTTTATTATTTTGAAAGAAATAGAAATATTAGGCTGGTATT